GTGATGGAGCTCGATCACCATAACCTTCTTCAAGTAATCGATGAACTTCTGCTACACTTTTTTTCAAATCAAAATAGTGCAAAAGCACATGTCGAAAAAACACTTTATCGCGTTCCATTTTTCACAAAGCAAAAGAAATTGTTGTTTAGGAAAATAATTGTGTATGCTGACTGAATGTTATCGAGAAATGTCGAAATTAATCACAAACTACCTGTTTCGTTAGTAATGACTACTAGAACTGTTTGCATTGCCATCTAACATTTGCGGGCGGAAACTAAGTTAAGGTCCTAATATTTATATTCAGTTATCGTCAGAAGAGAATAAATTCAAAATCCGATAAAAGAAACCTATCGTTCTCGAACGATTGTGTACGAACGATATTTGACTTGTATAATTACGATAGAAGGCGTGCATCATAATCTATCATCAAGTAGTTACACCAAGAACAGATGTTTTTCTATCGACTTCTTACAAAAAGCGTAACACGCTTTGGCTAAGTACATTCGTTAACAAAATTATATCGTATAGGTAAATTTATGTCCAAATTTAGCATAATTTTAAATGAATATAATACTGCGAAACATTATCGTATTTGAAATTTTTTTTTATTTCTTTTAAAGAATGAAATCTATACTTTAAGAAGCATTTGTCGTATTTTGAATTTATTCTTTCCTCTTCCCGTAGTCTTTTCAAAAGTAAAGACGTGTTACGTCTCCAAAAAAATTGCACAATTTGACGTATCCTACGTGGACAATCAAACTTTTTTCGAAAATTTCATGATATCTATCGTAAAATATAAACTTTCTTGTGCGATGTAAAAGAAAACGGATTTTTTTCGATTTTTTTTCGCGGAGTTGCAACATATCAACGTTACCTATACATTTTTTTTAAATCGCTTAATTTGACGCACTCTACTGAGTGGAATGAATTCTTTTCACAAATCTTACGATAATTATCGTCAAATACCGATGTTTCCTTGCAAATAAAAAATAAAAAGGAGAGGTGCACGACTTTCTTCCGCGATGTTGTACGATATATGAAAGTTACCTATGTATTTATATTCAGTTATCGTCAGAAGAGAATAAATTCAAAATCCGACAAAAGAAACCTATCGTTCTCGAACGATTGTGTACGAACGATATTTGACTTGTATAATTACGATAGAAGGCGTGCATCATAATCTATCATCAAGTAGTTACACCAAGAACAGATGTTTTTCTATCGACTTCTTACAAAAAGCGTAACACGCTTTGGCTAAGTACATTCGTTAACAAAATTATATCGTATAAGTAAATTTATGTCCAAATTTAGCATAATTTTAAATGAACATAATACTGCGAAACATTATCGTATTTGAAATCTTTTTTCATTTCTTTTAAAGAATTAAATCTGTACTTTAAGAAGCATTTGTCGTATTTTGAATTTATTCTTTCCTCTTCCCGTAGTCTTTTCAAAAGTAAAGACGTGTTACGTCTCCAAAAAAATTGCACAATTTGACGTATCCTACGTGGACAATCAAACTTTTTTCGAAAATTTCATGATATCTATCGTAAAGTATAGACTTTCTTCTGCAATGTAAAAGAAAACGGATTTTTTTCGATTTTTTTTCGCGGAGTTGCGACATATCAACGTTACCTATACATTTTTTTTAAATCGCTTAATTTGACGCACTCTACTGAGTGGAATGAATTCTTTTCACAAATCTTACGATAATTATCGTAAAATACCGATGTTTCCTTGCAAATAAAAAATAAAAAGGAGAGGTGCACGACTTTCTTCCGCGATGTTGTACGATATATGAAAGTTACCTATGTATTTATATTCAGTTATCGTCAGAAGAGAATAAATTCAAAATCCGACAAATGCTCCTTAAAAAAAAGTACAGACTCGACTCTTTAAAAAAAAAATTAAATACCATAATGTTTCGCAGTATTATGCTCATTGAAAATTGTACTAAATTTCGAAATGTATTTACCTATGCCATAATTTTGTTGACGAGCACATCGTAATTATTTAATAAAATACTTACGAAAGGAGAACATGACGAATACCACGTATAATAACCTAGGTATATCGTAAATTTACAAAAGGCGTCTGTAAATTCGTGAAAAAGGAAATGCTATCATTTCCACACCACCCTGAGGTAGATAACTTGGCGCGTTTTTTTTAAGTGGTTTCCCCAGTAGGCCTAATCCACTCTCATTATTTAAGGCAATAACTGTTCGAAGTGGCTTCCTTCTGCTTGTAAACAGAGTTCAGCTCTTCGAATTATCTGTTGCGTCGCACGGTGCGCCATGTCCGGCGTGATGGTATTAAAGGCCGCAACAATTGCTTCACGTACTTCATCTTCATTACCATCACGCCTGTGCTCGACTGAAGCTTTAACATAGCCCCAAACAAAATAGTCGAGCACGTTCAAATCTGGCGACCGTGCCGGCCAGGTGATTGGGCCACCTCGACCCATCCACCTTTCCGGAAAACGCGTATTTAAAATATGCCGTATTTGACGAGCGGAATGTGCCGGAGCTCCGTCGTGTTGAAAAACTAGTATTTGCCGCATGTGGAGAGGAACGTCCTCCAGAAGTATCGGCAAATCGTTTCGAAGGAAGTGTCCATACGCCTGTCCGTTAAGACGTGGCGGCAGAAAATATGGACCTATCTGAAAAGCGCAAATGGACACATTATGAGGAAAATATGAGGAAGAAAACATTTCTTAATTTACAAGAATATTTACCACTCGGTCCGCTGTTACTCCTGCCCATACATTAATGGACCAGCGATATTGAAAAATACCTTCCCGTATGGCGTGAGGATTTTCCTCTTGCCAGAGCAAGAAATTGCGAGAGTTGAAGACGCCATTAGGAGTAAACGTAGCTTCATCCGTCCACAAAATACGGTCAGGAAATGTCACATCCTGCCGATACTGTGCCAGTAACCCTGCATATGTTATATTAATGGTAAACATATTAATGATATTAATAGAAATATGCTAAAAGCGCTGTGAGTATTTCTGTGGAGAATACCTTGACAGAAGCAGATTCGCTGTTCTGCATCTCGCGGCAAAAGTTGCTGCACACGTTGGTAATGGTAAGGATGCAAACCATTTTGGCGGATAATACGATGCACTGTTGTTCGCGATATACCAAGTGCGTGTGCTACGCGACGTACACTGCTTCCAGGATTGTTCTCGAATATTCGAAGCACTTCCTCTTCGTTGTGGACATCACGGTGTCTTGGTGGAGCACCATAATCCCGGCGATTCACCATTAGGCATGCTGTTTCCTCCGCACGTCGGACGCAACTCAAAATAGTGCGATACGACGGATGCCGCTCGCGATTGGGAAACCGCGCCGCCGCTGAAAATCGGAAAGTCTCCGTGCAGCCTTCGCAGGAAAATATTTCGATCGATAATTGCAGATCAATACCGCCGCTGATAATCGGAAAGTTTCCCTGCAGCCCTCGTAGGAAAGTATTTCGATCGATAATTGCAGATCAATACATGTATTTATCGTCAATAAATGCATGTATTGATCTGTAATTATCGATCGAAATACTTTTCTGCCGCAAGGGCAACAAGGAGACTATTTCCGATTTTCAGATGTTTTTTTCGTTTTTCACATGTTATTGTACTCATTTGTTAGCGTGCAAATATTTCGCGTTATTGACGTGCGCTAACGACGATGGAGTATACTCCCAAAGAATATACCGATATGATTATCTGTTACGGAATGGCCGGCGAAAATGCCTGTCTCGCGGAGCGGATTTACGCGGCGCGGTTTCCCAATCGCGAACGGCATCCGTCGTATCGCACTATTTTGAGTTGCGTCCGACGTGCGGAGGAAACAGCATGCCTAATGGTGAATCGCCGGGATTATGGTGCTCCACCAAGACACCGTGATGTCCACAACGAAGAGGAAGTGCTTCGAATATTCGAGAACAATCCTGGAAGCAGTGTACGTCGCGTAGCACACGCACTTGGTATATCGCGAACAACAGTGCATCGTATTATCCGCCAAAATGGTTTGCATCCTTACCATTACCAACGTGTGCAGCAACTTTTGCCGCGAGATGCAGAACAGCGAATCTGCTTCTGTCAAGGTATTCTCCACAGAAATACTCACAGCGCTTTTAGCATATTTCTATTAATATCATTAATATGTTTACCATTAATATAACATATGCAGGGTTACTGGCACAGTATCGGCAGGATGTGACATTTCCTGACCGTATTTTGTGGACGGATGAAGCTACGTTTACTCTTAATGGCGTCTTCAACTCTCGCAATTTCTTGCTCTGGCAAGAGGAAAATCCTCACGCCATACGGGAAGGTATTTTTCAATATCGCTGGTCCATTAATGTATGGGCAGGAGTAACAGCGGACCGAGTGGTAAATATTCTTGTAAATTAAGAAATGTTTTCTTCCTCATATTTTCCTCATAATGTGTCCATTTGCGCTTTTCAGATAGGCCCATATTTTCTGCCGCCACGTCTTAACGGACAGGCGTATGGACACTTCCTTCGTAACGATTTGCCGATACTTCTGGAGGACGTTCCTCTCCACATGCGGCAAATACTAGTATTTCAACACGACGGAGCTCCGGCACATTCCGCTCGTCAAATACGGCACATTTTAAATACGCGTTTTCCGGAAAGGTGGATGGGTCGAGGTGGCCCAATCACCTGGCCGGCACGGTCGCCAGATTTGAACGTGCTCGACTATTTTGTTTGGGGCTATGTTAAAGCTTCAGTCGAGCACAGGCGTGATGGTAATGAAGATGAAGTACGTGAAGCAATTGTTGCGGCCTTTAATACCATCACGCCGGACATGGCGCACCGTGCGACGCAACAGATAATTCGAAGAGCTGAACTCTGTTTACAAGCAGAAGGAAGCCACTTCGAACAGTTATTGCCTTAAATAATGAGAGTGGATTAGGCCTACTGGGGAAACCACTTAAAAAAAACGCGCCAAGTTATCTACCTCAGGGTGGTGTGGAAATGATAGCATTTCCTTTTTCACGAATTTACAGACGCCTTTTGTAAATTTACGATATACCTAGGTTATTATACGTGGTATTCGTCATGTTCTCCTTTCGTAAGTATTTTATTAAGTAATTACGATGTGCTCGTCAACAAAATTATGGCATAGGTAAATACATTTCGAAATTTAGTACAATTTTCAATGAGCATAATACTGCGAAACATTATGGTATTTAATTTTTTTTTTAAAGAGTCGAGTCTGTACTTTTTTTTAAGGAGCATTTTGAATTTATTCGGCTTCTTAAAGTACAGATTTAATTCTTTAAAAGAAATGAAAAAAGATTTCAAATACGATAATGTTTCGCAGTATTATGTTCATTTAAAATTATGCTAAATTTGGACATAAATTTACCTATACGATATAATTTTGTTAACGAATGTACTTAGCCAAAGCGTGTTACGCTTTTTGTAAGAAGTCGATAGAAAAACATCTGTTCTTGGTGTAACTACTTGATGATAGATTATGATGCACGCCTTCTATCGTAATTATACAAGTCAAATATCGTTCGTACACAATCGTTCGAGAACGATAGGTTTCTTTTATACAATAAAGAACTTTGAGTTTCTCCCATCGTTAATATACTACAAATTATGACAGATTTCCAGTGATATTTTCATGATAAATTCCAACAAAACGATAGGACACAAGTCTCTAAGAATTATATCATAGTAACGATTTAATACTCTCCTAACAGAGCACGATTTCATTTCTTGCGGATTCGATACATGCAAAAGATACGATAGAGAAACAATTACGATAGAGAACAGTTAGATTCTCTGCAAATACTTTTAGTTTTTATCGCTTTCTTCCTTTCTGTTTTTCTTTTAATCACAGGAACACATTACGGTTTTAATGTGAGCTGTCTTATAAAATAATCTTCTAAATGTAATCGCGCGCTGTCGCTTTTCTACCATGACGTCGAGAAAGCGAAAGATAATTATCTTTGGGTACACGATTTTGTGTTACACGCTGCTCGCTGTGTCACCTCTACATACAT